TTTTGAACACACTGTGGTGATTGTCCTCTACATTTTTACAATATTTTATGTATAATAGCACATGGTCAATTAATATACTCATTGACAATCAACAATGTTACGTACATTGTTATGGTTTACAATTGTTTAATGATTTTAATTCAATTATATGTGCAAATGTGATGTTAACCTGTTCAAGAAAATGACATGTGGTCATCCAGGCAAGGCCTACCATTGAAATGATGGGTCAAAATAGGGAAATTGTCAACTAGGTTACCTGTCAACTGAGTTACCCAGTACTGTAATAACTGTAGTAACTTAGTTGACAGGTAACCTAGTTGACAATTTGTACGACATGTAGACGTCATTACACATCATTATCAATGGAATTTTGCACTTCTGCCTTGAAATTAACATAGTGCTGATGGTTAATAATGTGTCCAGTCAACTATGTTATTTGCGTCAAATGTTTGACTTTCATTGTCAACTATGTTGCACCTCATTTTTTCAAATTTAAAATATCTAAAATAGTGCTTCTGATATCCTTTATAGTATAATGTATATCTACACAGGTTGGAGTTTTACATGACATCTCTTAAAACTATCAAAATGACCTGTATGGTAGTTTTATAATACAAAATATCCCTAAACTTAATGACAGTGCTGAACATATCACATGAAAAAACAAAACTTTAATACAATTATTTTTTAAACTTTAAAAAATCTTTGGATATATGGTAGAATAGACTCAAGAGCCTTTCAAATTTGATTTTACTTGAAGTGCAGGACTTAATCAAATGATTGTAATGACATCAAGTTTGTCCGTAACATAGTTGACAAACTGAGTAGTGAAAACATCCTTTCCCTTAAAATAAAAAAATATATAAAAATGTTTAAGCTTTGCAACTAGTGGATATGTTACACTGAGGAATATACTAACTTGAACCACTGATTGTTCTATCTATACATTTTATTTGGCATTAGTAAATAATTATGCACATTTACAGATATTTTACATGATATGAGTGATAACACGTGTTATAAGGGCTATTTCGCACAATAGGTGTGCCTTGAGATTTTTACTTGTCCTTTGGTGTGCCTTGGGCACAAAAAGTTTGGGAACCACTGCTGTAGAGAAATGTAAACGTTCACCATCCCCCACCCGCCTACTGTATGTTGCTTTTTGACATGTAAATGGGTAACTACCCCCCTCTGAGTGAATACCTGTTGTACCTGTCCGGGGCTAAGCCCATAGGACGATGCTCTGATGTCATCACCCTCGCACATTGGTCATATGTTTACAAAAAACGATGTTAACACTTTCTCGTTCTTAATATATGCTATATTTAGGGTCGATATGTGTTGAATTTACTTTAAAATAGCAGATCACTGTGATTCACTTCTCCGCGGCTCCTCCGTGCAGAGAGGCCCCCCCCCCGTTGACAATTCACGAGCGTCTAACTCTCTCCCCCCTGTGAAGAGATATCACAGGGGGGGGTTGGGACACACACATTCCGATGGCCAATTCGTTTTAAACAAAGAGTGGGGTGGGGACTGGTGAACGGTATGGTCAATGTTTGTAAACACTGTGACATTTTGACTTTATTTGATCATTTCAGTTAAAAACTAACGTTCATATTTCATATTACTGTTTTGCCTGGCTGGACCTGTAATTTACAGGAAAGGAGTGCACGCTACTAAAGAGACACGCTACCATGGAAACCAAACAATGGTGTTGCTGTATTGAAGTCCGAGTGGAAACAGTCATATTTGGAGCGTTATGTTAGAATGAAACAGCGAGGTCGTGACTCACAAAAAAAAAGTGTTACTTCACTAACTGTAAGCTTGTCACTCAGAGTAACCTACAGTTAACTTAACTGTTGGAAAAGAAAGATCAGAGTTAGGAGTGTGAACACACAGCTGAGAGCTGCCGTTTCATTCTGACTGTTTAAAAAACGGTAACAACGGACTATTTTTCTTAGCGGATGCATGTAAATTTAAATCAATACATAGAACTATGTTTTAAATCAATAAAAATATTTTCTAAATCCATAAAAGCATTTTAATTAATATTGGGAGTCATGTCGTTACTTTGTTGAGAATGTGGCCATGTAATAAGCGGGATAATTTGCAGCGACTTGGTCATTATGGGGGAAAATAACACCCAGGGATCAAGGGACCCAGGGATCCCTCCGCGTCGCGGAGGGATCAGTAATTTTTAGTGAATTACTGAGTTTAGGCACGTTAATAACATTTTAATGAAGTTGAATACAGTATATTCATATTTGTCAGTGATTTCATGTCAATTCGGCGAACATAAACGATTAAATTAGGATTAAAAATCGAGAGCCGGCTGCTGTTCGTTACGGTAACCCAACTAGGACACTTGACACAGTGGCTTTTGGCAAAGCACACAAAGAAAACAAAAAAAACCGAGAGAGATGAATTATTGTTATTACAACGTGACTTCACTATTATTTAACAACTATTTTTATTGGGTTCTTTTATTTGGGGTTAAGTACATTGTCAGAATAAGTGAGAAATGGATTTAACTTCTGTTAGACAGCTATCATACTGAATAAATATTTATGCAAAAATGTATGGCATTAATAATGTATATCTAATTACATTTAAAAATGTATGGCATTAATAATGTATATCTAATTACATTAACTGTGAATGTCTTTCATTTTATTTAAAATGAAATAAAATTACATAAAACATTTTCCATAAAAAAGTTGATTCAAGAACAAATCAGTACTTTTCTTATATGACTATTATTGCTAAATTTGAAAGGTCTTTACCAGCTTTGGAATTATATATATATATATATATATATAGCACCTTCTGCCATCCCATCTCTACTGACATATGGATCTTAACAAAGATCCGCTATACATTAGTACCAGATATACTGTACACGGACATTTTAGTGAACCAGACCAGCTGTTTCCGCCGGGTCTTCGCTTCCCGGGCATCACGTTGTTTACAAGTGTGTTCAGATGCTAAATGACAAGTGCAAGTGACAATTGTTGTCGTCTTCTCTGTGAACGTTTTTTTCTCCGTTATTTTGCCATTTTCAGATTTAAATTTCGAGCGGAAAGCTAACCAGGAAGTAATAATTACTTAAGCGGAGAACGGAGAAAGTAAACGTTACAGCAGGCATAACAACAGCCGGTGTTTATTTTATTATAATATTCAAGAACAAATCAGTACTTTTCTTATATGACTATTATTGCTAAATTTGAAAGGTCTTTACCAGCTTTGGAATTATATATATATATATAGCACCTTCTGCCATCCCATCTCTATATATAATATCTATCCGTGACATATGGATCTTAACAAAGATCCGCTATACATTAGTACCAGATATACTGTACACGGACATTTTAGTGAACCAGACCAGCTGTTTCCGCCGGGTCTTCGCTTCCCGGGCATCACGTTGTTTACAAGTGTGTTCAGATCGTTCAGATGCTAAATAAAAGTTTAGCTTGTACTTTTGATACCCCGCCTCTCGGCACCACAACATCCAGTTTACTGTATTTCACATGAGCGATGTCGAACATTGAAAAGTCCTTATAAAATCTCTGTTATTAGATCAGTACTTTTCTTATATGACTATTATTGACTTGAACACTGAGAATGTATTTATTAACTTCAGACATTTGAAATATTTGAAATCAGATGAAAACAAACTGTAACGGACCCTGCCGTGTTATCTATGATTACTATGCCTTACTGTACATTCATAATTTCAGCCGGAGGTAGGTGGTAGGCGTTGCGGAGGAGCAGATTGCGAGTGAGGTGCCTGTTCTAAACGAACTATTCCAGCTGTTATAAAGCATTAAATAAAAAGTAAGCAAGGAATACAGAATGTTTCGTTACGTAACTTTGTTGAGAATGTGGCCATGTACATGTAATACATGGGATCATTTGCAGCGACTTGGTCATTGTGGGGAAAAATAACACCCATCCTGATCGTTTCAATGAAGTTGAATACAGAATATTCATATTTGTCAGTGATTTCATGTCAATTCGGTGAACATAAACATCAATGATGATGATTAAATTAGGATTAAAAATCGGGAGAGCCGGCTCGTTCGTTTTTTTCCGACTAAACAACATCTATTATTTAGAAGTTGATTTCACATGACTCCAGTGTGGAACCCCACTGCACCCCCTGGTGGATCAATGATCCATTGCAGCTGGCTTCACAATAATTAAATGTATTTATCATGGGGGCGGTATCAAGTCTGACTGGGGGCCGGCCGGCCATCACGGAACGTGCATGAACCGATCACGACCCTCGCACTTTAAACTGTCCAAAATAAGACGCTTCATCTGTAGCGGTGATGCTAACCCAGCAGCTAACTACACCTGGTACAAGACGGATCAAAATGCACACCTTTCTTCTGTCAATGAAGGACCACTTCTCGTCCTCAGCTCCATCCAGTCCTCTGACTCTGGACAGTATTACTGTAGAGCTTTGAATAAGCTGGGGAGTAGACGATCTGATCCCTTCTCTATTGATGTGAAATGTGAGTAAAACCCAGATGATTTAAAAAGCATCATGCAACCAATGACAACTTTGTTCACAGTCTGCTGCTGTAGGTCAATGAGATGGAGAGCAGCTACAGTAGATGATGAAAAAGGCAGTTTTGTTGACAATTGGCTCCCAAATCAGGTCGTATGTCCAGGCTATTCAAGCCAGCAGTGAAACAGGAAACTAAATATATTTACACAACATAATTGTTGTTTTAAGCTCTATACCAGTCAAAAAACACTTCCATAATTCAGATGCTCCCACACAAATAACTATGTCTCATTTCAATACTCAATTCAACATGATGTATTTGTAATCTTTTGTTGATTTATTGTATTTCCTCCAGATGCTCCAAAGCTCCCCTCTGTGTCAGTGAGTCCCTCTGCTGAGATAGAGGAGGGCAGTTCAGTGACTCTGACCTGTAGCAGTGATGCTAACCCAGCAGCTAACTACATCTGGTACAAGGATAATGAAGACTCTCCAAAAGCTTCAGGACAGATCTTCACCATCACTGACTTCAGAGCTGAACACAGTGGGAGTTATTCCTGTGAAGCCCAGAACAAGTTAGGACGTAGTATCTCCACCTTTCATCTGAGTGTTGGAACAGGTAAGTTCTCTACATTCACCAGACCTGATTCACTTTGTAATCTGAAACAACCCAAGCATATTCAAAATGTCAGTGTTCAGGGAGGAACCTCCATGGTGTCAGAGGTGGATGACACTGACAATGTGATTTATCAATCTAGCAGTTAAAAGTATCACATATGTATTCATGTTTCTAGGGAGTTCAACAATGATAGTGAATATCATCAGGACGACTCTGGGGGTCTTGATTCTGATTCCTGTGTTTCTCCTGAGTCTGTGGATGAGGTACAACAATATAAATTCATCAGTTTAAACATCCTTCTTACATCTTTTAGTTCACTGTTATGAAATACAATCTGTATTTGTTGTTCCCCTTAATCCAGGAAGAAGATAGCTCTGCGCTCCACCACTGAAGCACATCTACCTGAAGAGATAGAGGTGAGAGAGAGCGAACCTATTGACAACATTTCCCCTTCGTCAAAGCTATACTGTGGCTCATAAATGCAATGTGAAGAGAACTTGTGTTTAAAGACAACTTCCTGAGTTGAAACCAGTAATGAATTTAGCCAAGAAATAATTGGCATCAACTTTAAAATATGAAAAATGTTTTATAAATTCTTAAAGTATATGCAGGTTTCATGAATGAGGGTCTAATTGTGTCTTCTCTCTCTTCATCAGTTGGACTCTGTTCCTGAGTATGAGAACGACTCACACACTGCAGCACAGACAGAAGACACAGAGGAGCAGGAAGACCTGGTGTGAAGTCCAGTCAGGTTAGAGCCTCCTGCATCAGATCAAACAGGCCCACTCCACATTTAGAGTCACAGTTCCAGCTGTAACTTTACACAAAGTTTCTGTGATTTTCTTCAGACGCTCACCTGATGGAAACAAAGAAGAAGGACGTTGAAATGTCCCTGTGGAGAGCGAGGCTGTGCAGGATGTGTGCAAAGTGGATATATTCACGTTCAACTCTTAAAGCTTGTATTGTCAGTTTTCAGTAGCAGCAGCTTGTAGGTTTAGAGAATGAGCTGCTGGCAGCTTGAAGTGAATCATGTCGAGGTGTCAAACATGATTTATTGTTAAGACCAGCCGATGGTCAGGTGCTCTATATTACTGCTTCAACTATGTGTACATGCTTATTTGTTATATGCAGAGTTGTTGATATTAACCTGTTAAGCCCTGAGCCTGTTTTTCAGGTCTCAGGCTCGAAAATGACATTCCCAGAACAAATGACCGTATCTTCACTTCTAAAAGGGTTAAATTAATAATCTTTTTTCTCAAAGTAATGATAAACCTGTGAGTTGGATGTAGAAAAGTCAGAATCAATATAAATGTTTTTTATTTTAAAGAAAATTCAGATTTTACATAGTAAAAAACTGTAAATTATAATGTCCGTCCAAAAATTATTTTTTACAGATAGTGAAAACTACCCTTGGATGATGGGTTAGTAGACTAAAAGCTTTAGGAATCCAAAGTACAACATATAATAAGTACCCTGTATCAAGATTGATGCAAAACAAGTGACATTTGACCTTTTTAGAGAGATTTAGCAAAAAGAAACCACTTCTGGGGTGATTTGGGTGGATTTTCCATATCTCTGGCCCCCCTTGCTCGATTTTGATGGTTGACACCTCTTTCTGACCGTTAGAGCCAATAGAATCGAAGGGGGAGTCCCCCACACACACTCATGGTGAAAAAAAAGGTGGGGGCTTTGCATTAGAGTGAAGCTACAGTCTAGCTCTGACATCTAGAAACGTAAAAGCATGGATTATCAGTCTCATTGCTCATGGATTATCAGAAATCATTTCAAAGGGACAGCAGCGTTTTTATTGTTTTAATGCCATTGAAGACCACTTTGGAGAGACTACAGAGCCAAGGTAAACTTGTTAGCATTCTTAGCTACCTAGCATCAAATGTTTTGATGTCCGTTTTTGCTTATAACGTCGCAAATACGTATAATTCAGTGATAATGAGGGTACCCATCGATTCTGTGTCACATCACGATGTGAAACGATGTCATGGATGTGAACAAAAGATAAATAATAAGGTTTTGTGAGTGATTTTCGGTGCAGTAATCTGTTAGCATTTTTCGCTCGTTGCTAATTCAGAGGCTCAGTGTTAGCATTGTGGGTTTTCTTTTAAAAAAAAAAAAAAAATGATCAGTTAGATGAGTTTCTTCCCGTTACATGGATATAAAACATTCATAGTTTATTAAATGAACATGCCCTCAGACACTATTTCCTGCAAGATGTTGCGGCAGTGCCCCGGTACCGGGGTCTCTCGGGCTTAACAGGTTAAAAAAGTCTAGTCAAATTGTTTTTTTTTTATTCCACAAAATAAATAACTTTTAAAAATCTTCGTCAGTGTCTTGATTAATATACTGCTGACAGAGCCAATGAAGTCTATTTAAAACAGAGAGAGCCTAAAAACATCAAATTTCACTCAATGTACAGTTTAGATTTTCACAAAATGAAACATAAGCGCACTAGTAGAAGGCCTTGTTAGATGTTACTGAGTAAGATTCATGGTCTTTAAGTGCTTATAGAACATTTATCTGACATAGAAGGACCTCTTGCTGCTCTTTTTACATCCTTCTATAAAAAGTTAATTTCTATCACAATCTCTTTGATTCTCCTTTTAGACATGAGTACATTTCAAGTACATCCAGAGGTTTTCCTACCTTTTATCCTTTTATCTTTTCTGTCATAAAGCATCAAGTTGATAAAGCAGGGATATTTTTCCATCATTACCACAGCTGCTGTTGCTTTGGCCTTTTCTGTCCTGGGTCCATTCCTCTGTAAATGAAATACTTATTAATGTGAAAATGTGTAGTTTAAAGTGTTTTTATCCCTGCGGTGTGTACCTGATCAGCCGGAGCAGCAGGATGACCTTCAGTATGCCAGCGTTCACTTCAACAACCGGGCAGACCCTCTTTACTCCAACATGAGAGCAGCTCAGCCCCTCAGACACACGGAGCAACAGGAAGTCCCGGAGTACGCTGCCGTCAAGTTCAGCAGTGCTGCCCCGAGGTGAGCAGATCCTCACACAGGAACATTGTTCACATATCATTTAATTCCCTTTGCATTATTATTACCACTAAGAAATACATCATTTATTTCTCAGGACCAGAGGTCAGGACTCTGAAGAGGATCCAGCTGCATTGTACAGCACGGTCAACAAATCCCACTGAACACAGCAGGCGTTGCATTTGAAGGATGATACTTCTGTTTTTTTACAATCACATTTCTATTTACACAGGGTAATGTGGAATTTTTAAATATATGTCTCAGGGTGGACCTCTCCAAGAATGAGGCGATAAGTTTTCAGCCTAGTTTTTATTAATCTGAATGGCTCAAATGTAAAGATTTTGTTAAGTATTTCACAGCTTAAAGGTGGGGTAGGTACATTTGAGAAACCGGCTCGAGATACACTTTTTGTTATATTCCATGGAATGCTCTTAACATCCCGAGAGCAATGAATATCTTAAGTGAATTGACAAAAAATCCATAAAAAAATGTCATCTGTGGAAGCCGTAATACTGTAAAAAGCACGACCAATCATCTGAGCCGGCCCGGCTAAAATAACTGGATGGCCTACCTGCCTGCTAGCCTTCCATCTGTGCACAAACTTATCTCGTGCCCTCATTGCTCATGTGCGCGTTCGTGGGTGTTGGAGGAGGGGCTCTATAAGGAAGTCTGAAGGAAGGGGCAGATTTTCTCCGGTTGTGTATTTTCAAATTCTAGCGATCTCGAGCCGGTTTCTCAAACTTACCTACCCTACCTTTAATGTACTGAATTATTAATATTTCTTGTGTAACATGATTTTTGCCAAATGTAGAGATGTTGCAACAAGAGATCTGATCTCTAACTGCTGGCTTGTTGGAAAATATAGATATTACTAAAGAGTTATAATTTACTGATAACAAACCAATTTCATTGTTTTGTAAGTACATTTATCTACTTTATTTTATATGTTTTTTTTCTTGTCTAGACTGAAATATCAACAACTACTTGTTTGTGTTATTTTGTATCCATTCCAAAATACATTTAGCTTTTGAAAAGCACATTGGGATATCAGAGAGGAACATGTGTTGCTGATGTAGTTGCAGTTTCATTCTGCTGCCACTAGGTGTCAGTAAAGAGCCGTATTTCACTGATGGAAAACCATTACCAAGAGCCTGTAAAGCACATTTATCTTTGGTGTGTGTACGGCCTTAATGTTCACACATTCTTATTCTGACATCTGTTTATGTAAATATAAAAGTTCCATTATCACCAATTTAAATAGTTAATTTCTTTGTTACTCTTTAAGTTCATAACCATCACAACTTGTTGCATTTATCTATTTTGCTTTGTTGTTACACCTGTTATTCTGACCCTAGTCTTTTGCTCTGTACTTCATGTGTTTACCTTTCTCTCGTTCTGTTCTGGTTTGAGTTCATCAATAAAGGTTGAAATGTTCATAACTCTTGTCCACACTAATGCTAATGATAGCATTAGTGACACTAATGCTAACATTAGTGTCACTAATCTGTCATTTAAAAATAGAATAATTGCACGTGTTCACTTGAAATAAAAACACTGGAAACAATATTAAACAAAACAAGCTGCAGTGATGAAAGTGCAGAGTTTGTGAGGAGACATCAGAAGGTATAAAGAACACAGTGAAGGCTGTCACACTGAGTGAGAGAAGTGTGTGAGTGAAGTGTGTGAGTGAGAGAAGTGTGTGAGTGAAGTGTGTGAGTGAGAGAAGTGTGTGTGTGTGTGTGTGTGTGTGTGTGTGTGTGTGTGAGTGAGAGAAGTGTGTGAGTGAGAGAAGAGTGTGAGTGAGTGAAGTGTGTGAGTGAGTGAAGTGTGTGAGTGAGTGAAGTGTGTGAGTTAGTGAAGTGTGTGAGTTCGTGAAGTGTGTGAGTGAAGTGTGTGAGTGAAGTGTGTGAGTGAGAGAAGTGTGTGTGTGTCTGTGTGTGTGTGTGTGTGTGTGAGTGAGAGAAGTGTGTGAGTGAGAGAAGAGTGTGAGTGAGTGAAGTGTGTGAGTGAGTGAAGTGTGTGAGTGAGTGAAGTGTGTGAGTTAGTGAAGTGTGTGAGTTCGTGAAGTGTGTGAGTGAGTGTGTGAGTGAAGTGTGTGAGTGAGAGAAGTGTGTGTGTGTCTGTGTGTGTGAGTGAGAGAAGTGTGTGAGTGAGAGAAGTGTGTGAGTGAGAGAAGGTTTCGTGAGTGGAGTGAAGTGTGGTGAGTGAGTGAAGTGTGTGAGTTAGTGAGTGTGTGAGTTCGTGAAGTGTGTGAGTGAAGTGTGTGAGTGAAGTGTGTGAGTGAGAGAAGTGTGTGTGTGTGTGTGTGTGTGAGTGAGAGAAGTGTGTGAGTGAGAGAAGTGTGTGAGTGAGAGAGTGTGTGAGTGAGAGAAGAGTGTGAGTGAGTGAAGTGTGTGAGTGAGTGAAGGTGTGTGAGTGAGTGAAGTGTGTGAGTTAGTGAAGTGTGTGAGTGAAGTGTGTGAGTGAGAGAAGTGTGTGTGTGTGTGTGTGTGTGAGTGAGTGAGTGAGTGAGTGAGTGAGAGAAGTGTGTGAGTGAGTGAAGTGTGTGAGTGAAGTGTGTGAGTCAGTGAAGTGTGAGTGAGTGAAGTGTGTGAGTGAGTGAAGTGTGTGAGTGAGTGAAGTGTGAGAGTTAGTGAAGTGTGTGAGTGAGTGAGTGTGTGAGTGAGTGAAGTGTGTGAGTTAGTGAAGTGTGTGAGTTAGTGAAGTGTGTGAGTGAAGTGTGTGAGTCAGTGAAGTGTGTGAGTGAGTGAAGTGTGTGAGTGAGTGAAGTGTGTGAGTGAGTGAAGTGTGAGAGTTAGTGAAGTGTGTGAGTGAGTGAAGTGTGTGAGTGAGTGAAGTGTGTGAGTCAGTGAAGTGTGTGAGTCAGTGAAGTGTGTGAGTGAGTGAAGTGTGTGAGTGAGTGAAGTGTGTGAGTCAGTGAAGTGTGTGAGTCAGTGAAGTGTGAGAGTTAGTGAAGTGTGTGAGTGAGTGAAGTGTGTGAGTGAGTGAAGTGTGTGAGTGAGTGAAGTGTGTGAGTGAGAGAAGTGTGTGAGTGAAGTGAGTGAGTGAGTGAAGTGTGTGAGTGAGTGAAGTGTGTGAGTGAGTGAAGTGTGCGAGTGAGTGAAGTGTGCGAGTGAGTGAAGTGTGTGAGTGAGTGTGTGGGTGTTTCTCAATGTCGAGGACGCTTGCTTGGTAGGACACGTCTTCCGAGTCCCTTGCTTCAGAAGCAAGAATCCTTCCTAGCCTCGGAAAACGAAGAATGGTGGAACAGGCTAACAGGTGTGCGTCATATGCGAGGCCCCGCCATTAGGATGTGTGTTCTCTTGTCAGTGAGGAGAGGTGGTCTGTTCACCACAAACTGGTCTCCTGAACTCCCTTTCTTTTAATGTAGAGGGTTTTCTTGTGGACATCAATCAACTTCTTTGTTATTTTGTCACTGAAGCCACACGGAGACGAGAGCAGCAGCTATGAGTTTAACAGCGAGTGGATTTGTTGTCTTCCTTCTCTCTATGCCAGGTAATGTACATCCACATGTTTTTTTATCCACATTATATTTAGCTTTTCTAAACACTTTGACACTTTATATAAATATTCCATTCAATTATACAGCAAACATACACAGGCATATATTAGTGACCAAACAAGATGCACGGAAATTCATTTGGAGAAAATACAGAGAGACAACAGAAAGAAGTGAGATTGGCAGGTGGTTAGTCAGCGGACGACCAGACCCAGGAGCAAAGACTGAACTGGCTTTTTCAAGTGTCAAAGGTATGATCCTCTTCTGCATCTTCTACATATGGACAGTGTTCTGTAACTTGACTTCATGTGTTGTCAGGCGCAGCCAACAATAAGGTCTACAGATCATAATACAGAGCACTTCTATATGGAAACTCACTACTACACCATCCATTCCTGCCTCCCTTTATCCTCTCGTGCATTCATTTGTCTTATTCCAGGTATTCTTGCTCATATTCTGATTTGGCAGAAACACACCTGAGTAGAAATGGTTAAACTCATAAAATGTTAATGTGGTGGCACGTGGTAGTGTTTGTTTGAACTCCTATTTAAGATCTACATTTAACCAAAAGCCAGACAACGCCACCTTGGGAATTGCACCCAAGGAAATAATTATTCAAAGTACCAATAAGGCATCAGGTTCGTAATACTGAGGGGCAGGAGAGGTGGTTCCAATTCATCACATGTTTGATTTCAAGTATTAAATACCATTAAAAAACACATTAAGATCATCATACACACTGAACATAAAGGGGGACATCTTAATTAAGGGATGCTGAGGCTTACCAGTGGATGGAGGTGACGAGGGGTGAGAGGGATCCCCACAAAGTAAATGAGGGCACCCGTGATCACTAAACACTCACACACGAAGGAACACCAACACCAGGGGGAGCCAACACACCTTTGGCTCTCAGCAACTAAAGAGGGGCCAACAAAACACATTACTGGGGGAAACAGTCAAAACTAATTAATACACAAACCAACACATAAGATCAGTATAAACACAATAAGAAATCAATAATACTAAGAGATATAACTAATATCGACTGAAATAAACAAAACATGTTTAGAACAGGGTCGAAAACAACTAAACAAAAGAAACGGAAATTAACCCAACAATCTACTTAATATTGAACTAAATAAACAAAACAAGCTTAACTCAACAGGGTAAATGAAATAACTAATCATAAAAAGAAATTCATCGAACAGTCCACTATAACAATGTTTAAAATGTGGTCATGTAGTGTAATGCACAGTGACACAAAGAGGCAATACAGACGATGCAGGCCAAGAGCAACACCCGCCAGGCAGCAGTGTAGCGGTGAAGCACAGACGTTGAGGCAAAACAGCCGTCTTTCTACAAACGGCAGCCAGCGCAAACTCACCGGTGCCAGCGGAGAAAGCACGTAAACGGAACCCGGAAGTGGCCTTCGTGCCAAAGAGCAAGAGGGAACAAGAGCGACACTGACCCCTCTTTAGAAAGGTTGCCCCGTGTTGATAGGGCTGAACAGTTTGTCCTGCTTCATTCAGATAACGACGAAAAAGTCAATTTAAATGTGCCAAAACAATCAGTGTTAAATATTAAACTGTACATTGTCTCCGGGTCCTGATTCAGTTTCTGATGTTTCACTGTCCTCCACTGGGGGATCTTAAGTGAGACACATTCAGGCTTCATCACTCAGAGCTCCCTCCACTGTCTGCTTTAAAGGGTCATTTCACCCAAACTACTAAAGTACTGATGTCCTCTCTTACCTCCTAAACATGCAAATCATTCATAATGAAGTTTGCTGCATGCTGTGAGGTTGTTTTTCAAATGTTAAAGTGCTTTAATAAATGTAAACATTGGACATATGTTTACAGTTAATTCAACTGATCCACCTAAACATCCAAAGTCATTGAACATGTGTTTTTCATATCATTAAACTCTGTGTGTCCAAATCCTACCAGTCCACTTGATTATGAGTGTGATGTGTTTGTTCATGTTGGGTTCACACTAACAGGCATGTGAGTTTCTCACGTCTCACAGTTCTGCATTTCTCAGAAACAGAAGCAACCTGACCGCAGAGAGAGCAGAGAAGAAACAAACCAAGAGAAATGATATGGCATTTTCCATTCTCTCTTATAATTAATTTGGTTCTCTTCATCCTGTTCAGTTAAACTGCCTCGTGGGTTCACAGGTTAATGCATTCCTGTTCCTTCACTCCACCTGCAGACTGTGTGACGTCCTCAGTGCTCATAGAGAGCAACTGTTTTACCCTTATCATTTGAAATCCTTTCTAATGCTTTTTTCAGGAGTCAGTATAGGTAGCTAATCGGGTCTTTAGCCATAGTTTATTTAGTTTAAGAAAAGTGTATTGTTTGTTAAACAATCAAACTTTATTGTGCAGTGGGTGTTACTGGGTTTGGCTCATCATGCATATTAATAGTCTAAACAGGAAGTAAATCTAGTCTCTTAACAGCCTGATATCCGTCTTCTGCTCATTGGTGACAGAGGAAAGGCATCTCTCAACACATCGTTCCTCCTTCACTGTGAGTAGAAACAGTTTATTGATGTAATGATTCTGTACACCTCCTGTGAACATTATTTAATCTGACATGTTTTATAGTCTCACAGAGATGAGAGGAGCAGCTATGAGTCTAACTGCAGCAGCGAGTGGATTAGTCGTCTTCCTGCTCTCTGTGTCAGGTACTGTACATCTACACTTACATTCATCACATGAACAGAGGGGATTCTGGGGAAATGTGGGACTTGTGAAAGCAGGTCATTTGTAGAAAGAAGTGGATCGGGGTTGGATGAAATGCAAACTTTCCAGAAATATTCCAAATATATGTTTTGTGTAGCTTTGTTGAAACACTTAGATGTTACCAAGTTTTTAATTGTAATGACTATTCGTAAAAAGATCTTTCCTGTGTTGGTCAACGTCATTACTTATCTTTTGCTTAAAGTAACTGTGTGCCCAGAACATTTACACGCTGTAAACTGAGAATATTGTTCCCTCCTCACCCTGTGAAAACCTTTGCTTTGTTTTATTTCTAAGATGACCCTGGTTAAAAAGATGATTGCCGTTTTTTATTAAATGTTAGTGTTTGAGGGATATTTTTCTCACTAGTCATTTTACACTGTCTCAACTTCTCTCATGTCGCCATACCTCTGCACCAAACCCTTCTAGTTCCTTCTCTCCTCTCTGACCTCAGTGTTATATTCACACTCTGAGTTTAAAGCAGTCTTCTTCTTTTTCTCATCTGTATATCAGACAGAAGCTGCTCACACCTCAGTGTTCTGCATTTATTGTTATTTTCACACTCAACTCAGCAGCAAACTGACCACAGAGCGAACAGAGAGAACTGTACAAGAGAGTCACACACTTTTCTAATTCTTCCAATCTTTGACATCACTGACGTTGAAAAACTGAGCTAAAAGTTTGTTTTTTGACCTGGTACAATTTGGATATGACTCTAAAATAAGTCATAAAGTAAAATTGCATCAGGTATGAAGTGCTTAAGAAGGAATTGAGAGAGCTTAATATAAAAAATGTAACTTCATCATTATTTGTTGACTCATAAACGTCTCCTTTTAAGCTATTTTAAAACACTTTGTTCATTATATAGACCAACTTGGAAACCCATAAAAGAAGGATATATTCTCTTATGAATGAACAGTTGAACACCTAATAAAAATCTATATTCAGTCCTCGTTAGATACCGTAGATGCATGATTATAATCTTTTTCTGATGATTGGGGATCTTGACGATTGCCCAGCTTAGATTTCCTGATATGATACAAATATTCTTATTAACTAATTGTTAACTTAAGTCATTCACTTTGATTCTAGTTTCTGATGTGCTCTGTGTTTCAGTGGTTCAGGGTCAGGATGACTGGGGAGGGAATTACACTTCTACTGAGGTCTATGCTGTGAAAGGATCAACAGTGGAGATAAACTGCACCTACAAATATCCATCCACAATAAAAGGCAGTCAAAATAAAGTAAATAAAACATTCTGGTTCATTGAGAACAGTGATGGTAACCCTGTAGATGTGACCACAGTCTCAGAGTATGCAGGTTGTGTAGAGTATCGCTGTGAAAACAACATCTGCACTCTGAGAATCAAAAACCTGACAGAGAGCGACTCAGCTGAGTACAAGTTCAGGATCAAAACAAACCTAGCTCAATATGCTGCTGCACCTGGAGTCACTTTGTTTGTCTGTTTGTCAGTCACAGGTAACATTTTCATTCATTTGAATTATTTATAATCGTTCAAAATGTTCAAAATCTAGAAAACAATAACATAAATGTGTATGAATGCATGTTTGTTGATAGTTTATCTTTCTTCACAAATCCAGGTCTCACGGTGCAGTTTGAACCCACACATGCTAACCGGGCAGAGCTGAAGTGTCAGAGCAGTTGTCTTGTACCCTCTGGTCATTATGTCTGGTACGAGAACGGAGAGAAATCTACGACTTCAATATATTCTACTCATTTATTCACATTAGGTTCTACAGACAGATATTCCTGTGCTCTGAAAGGACATGAAGACTTCCCCTCTCCTGCAGTGTGTGAGTTAACCACTACACACACACTGACATTACATTACAATTACATTTCAGAGATAACCTCACTGCAGTATTCTTAATCTTCATATGGAGACAGCAGTATAACAAAAACTAAAAGGTAGCTGTAACCTGTACATAATTGTAATAAAAGCAACATAAAGTAAACAATAAAAGGAAAATCCTATACGCACCAAGAACATCTAAAAAATAAATGTAAGAATAAATTAGGCAGATAAATTCTTAGCAATTAAAAAAACTAAATCAAGAACAACTGGAAGTGATTTTTGTTGATATTAAATATTTAACAAAAATATAAAATAACAACAGTATATAAGCCATCTGGAGGAAATAAATGAGATCACTTGGAAACTCGTTTTTCTCGAGACCTCAAATGGAATATAGCGTAAGAGTAAACAAATATATCAGCGGAACCAACCAGAAAATTACAAATGTTATAATTGGTTAAATTAAATCAAGAACAAGTGGAAGTGAAATAGTAAAATCCGGTAAACTTAATACATTAAATTGCCCTAAGGATACAAATGAGGTTACCTTTAGATTGCTCTGCATGTTATTCACGGTTGCAGATGAAAGATGAAGAAATGTGGATTTTATAAGCTCAGTAAAAACAGCCAGCACCTGGAACGTAAGTTACTCATGAGGGACCTCTTTAGAAGAAAATGTAAGAGTATTAATTAACTCCACAACTAGGGGCTTTAGAGGGGCAGCTACGGCATGCACTGATAACATTTCAACATGAAAGACGGGTGAAAGTTAAAAGTCACCTTCTCATTAACCAGGACATTCATTTGTATAAAAACCCCAATCATTTCATACAGTGTTTTTTTAATAATAGTATATTTAGAGCAAGAGGTTTTTATACAAAACATAACTAAAGATTGATCTTACAGCCTAAAAAAGAAAACAATTATAATAATAACTCCTGGTGTTAAGAAGAATGTAAGGACTGACTCATCAGAACACAATCAGTATATAAAAAGAACATTTTTAAAGTTGTTAAAAATTGCTTTCAGTTTCAAACAGCAACGGTGTAATGTGTGACAGCTCCAGGAACTACATTATCATATTAAAATACAAATGAAAATTAAAATAGTAAATCATTAAATATTCTAATATTTAAATAATTAATGTTAATTTCTCTTCCAGATGCTCCAAGGCTTCCCTCTGTGTCAGTCTCTGCTGAGATAAAGGAGGGCAGTTCAGTGACTCTGACCTGTAGCAGTGATGCTAACCCAGCAGCTAACTACACCTGGTACAAGGTAAATGGAAATCAGAGACTTCCTCCTCTCACTACAGAACCACAGCTTGTCCTCAGCTCCATCCAGGTTTCTGACTCTGGACAGTATTTGTGTACAGCTGAGAACACGCTGGGGAAGACATCAGAAGTGATCCCTATTGATGTGAAATGTGAGTGAAACAGTTTATATAAAGATCACATGTGTCTAATCTTTCAACCCAGTCTCACGGCATTTCGTGTTATAGTCACGAAATTAATCTATTGATTCGTGTTCACCAACACGATTTCGCCATTTTTTTCGTGTCACACAGAACGATTTTAAAAGCAATGTAAATCATAACAAATTAGAAGGAAAAACAGATTACAAAAAATACAGATTTCAGTATTCTGACACAGAACGATTTTAGAAGCAATGTATTTATATTGGTAGTACGTTTCGTGCCTGCACCAAATAATAATAAATTAGAAGGAAAAAAAGATGACATAAAATACAGATGTCAGTATTCTGAGGCTCTGAGCCATTTCTTTTCCTCACTGACGGCAAAAAAAACTCCGACATTATACAATTTAAAATAAAAGGGATAGGGTTAGGCTTAGGGTAAGATATTGAGTAAGAACATGTTTTTATGAACCACACAGCTTCTGGTATTCCAAGACCCGACTGGACAAAAAGACGTGTTGCAGGCACGAAACAAACTACCAATAGAAATACATTGCATTTAAAATCGTTCTGTGTGACACGAAAAAAATGCGAAAATCGTGTTGGTGAACACGAGTCAATAGATTAATTTCGTGACTATAACACGAAATGCCGTGAGACTGGGTTGCAACCTGTTGATATACAACATAATTGTTGTCTTTAGCTCTATACCTGTCAAAAAACACTTCTAAAGTCAGATGCTCACACAGATAACTATTTTTCATTTCAATTCAACATGATGTATTTTTACCCATTTTTGTTGATGTATTGTATTTCCTCTAGATCCTCCAAAGCTCCCTTCTGTGTCAGTGAGTCCCTCTGAGATAGAGGAGGGCAGTTCAGTGACTCTGACCTGTAGCAGTGATGCTAACCCAGCAGCTAACTACACCTGGTACAAGAGGAACCAAACACTGCCTCTGGGAGTAAAAGGAAGTTATAATTTCACCTCCATCAGGTCTGAGGACAGAGGGAACTATTACTGCAAGTCTGAGAATCAATATGGAGAGGTCAACTCTTCATCTAAATATATTAATGTCCAGTGTGAGTATAACACATTAGCAACTACGATGCTGTGGTGACCCAGTATTAAGGGATGAATGTCATGTAGCTCCAGTCTACCTGTTTAACACATATGGTCAAGAACATTTATTGACAATAATTACAGAAATATTGTAAATATACCGGTAACTGTCTAATTTTTTCTTGACAGACAATGATAGCTCTTTAAACGCTTATTCCCAAGAGTCATGCCCTAATACAAAATGCAAATATCTTATGTTAAACTCATGGGTCTTTCTAAATCTCCAGATGCTCCAAAGCCTCCCTCTGTGTCAGTGAGTCCCTCTGCTGAGATAGAGGAGGGCAGTTCAGTGACTCTGACCTGTAGCAGTGATGCTAACCCAGCAGCTAACTACACCTGGTACAAGAAGGATGAAGACTCTCCAAAAGCTTCAGGACAGATCTTCACCATCACTGACTTCAGTGCTGAACACAGTGGGAGTTATTCCTGTGGAGCCCAGAACAAGTTAGGACGTCGTAACTCCACCTTAACTCTGATTGTTGTGGCAGGTACGTTTTATGCATTCATCTACTACCAGAAACGTATAAGCTTGTTTGTTTCAGTCACATCATCTGCATAGTAGTCCGACTTTTAAAAAATGTTCTTGGATCAGGGATAGGGTTCATAATGTTTTCTTTATATTCAAATATAAAGGTAAAGCCTCATCATGAATGTAATTGCAATTGGGAAAATAGGAGTATAACATATACATTTGGTTTATTTACATTATTATTTTAATTCAACTGGAACAGTTTCATTAATTTAGAAATAATAAAAACTATAGGCATAAAAATCACATGTGCCCCCCACAGTACCCCACAGTACCCCTAGGGGTACTACTTGTATCCATATTAGAGAAACACATCTGTATTAACCATCTGTTCTCTGTAGATCACTGTTTCTCAGGATCATGGAAGCTACCAGCTGCTGTAACAATCCCTGTTGTTCTCCTGGCTGTCATTTCTCTCTCTGTCTTCCTGTGGATCAGGTGAGCAGATCTGTTTCTCTTAATCATTGTTTGTTAAATCATTAAAAGTCTGTTTGTCTGTTGTCAAACATTTGATCTTGTTTTTCTTTATAAACTCTCCTAACCAGAAGAAAGAGGGCTTCTAGAGACTCGTCTGAGCCTGAAGAGAGAGCGGACATCAGGGAAGAGGTGAGAGTCTCATTGCCTTTAAGTGATTCTTAAGTTCTGCTATTTTACATCCTTTACAAAAGTTAATTTCTATCACAATCTCTTTGATTCTCTTCTTAGACATGAGTACATTTAAAGTACATCCAGAAGTTTTCCTATCTTTGATCCTTTAATCTTTTCTGTCATAAAGCATCAAGTTGATAAAGCAGGGATATTTTCCCATCATTACCACAGCTGCTGTTGCTTTGGCCTTTTCTGTCCTGGGTCCATTCCTCTGTAAATGAAATACTTATGAATGTGAAAATGTGTATCTGAAAGTGTTTTCCTCCCTGCAGTGTGTACCTGATCAGCCGGAGCAGCAGGAGGACCTTCAGTATGCCAGCGTTCACTTCAACAACAACCGGGCAGACCCTCTTGACTCCAACATGAGAGCAGCTCGGCCCCTCAGACACACAGAGCAACAGGAAGTCTCAGAGTACGCTGCCGTCAAGTTCAGCAGTGCTGCCCCGAGGTGAGCAGATCCTCACACAGGAACATTATTCATATTTAATTCAATTCCTTTTGCATTATTATTACCACTAAGAAATACATCATTTATCTCTCAGGACCAGAGGTCAGGACTCTGAAGAGGATCCCGCTGCATTGTACAGCACGGTCAACAAATCCAGATAAACACAGCAGGCGTTGCATTTGAAGGATGATACTTCAGTTTTTATTACAATCACATTTCTATGTACACAGGGTAATGTGGATTTATTAAATATATGTCTCAGGGTGGACCTCTCCAAGAATGAGGCGAT